CCACAGGGGATGGCAGTCTTGGATGTGACCCCACAGACCTGTCCCTGTCTGATCCTACATGTCCCAGACGGTGCCCGCACCCCCCCAGTGCCAGCCCTGCCGATGCCACCGGAGCCGTGTGGGGACAAGGAGCCGGTCTGAAGCCAGACAGCGGGTTGGTGCGGGACAAACCTCCCCATGCCCGTGCCATGCCCCGCAGCCCCCCGGGAGGTGGGGGATGCAGCTCTCCCACCTCCTCTCCCCATCCCCATGGGTCATGTCCATCCCCCCCAGCATCGCACTGGCAGCTTCCCCCCCCGGGGCTCAGCAGCAGGCTCCCCGCTGTGCCTTTCACTCCCAAATTCAAGCGGAACCAGGGAAGATAAAACACCACCCGCCGATGGATTCATGGGGAACTTCCCAGCCGGGTGGGCACAGACCCCCCAGCCCCACAGCTGGGACAATGCTTGGCTCCTCCAAGGGACACGGTGCCCACAGGGGTTGGCAGTCTTGGATGTGACCCCACAGACCTGTCCCTGTCTGATCCTACGTGTCCCAGACGGTGCCCGCACCCCCCCAGTGCCAGCCCTGCCGATGCCACCGGAGCCGTGTGGGGACAAGGAGCCGGTCTGAAGCCAGACAGCGTGTTGGTGCGCACTGGTTGCTCCCCAGTTGGAGCTCGGGGCAATCCAGCTGGCATCTCTCCGCCACGCTGCCCTGACAAGCAGCTCTTTCACTTTGGAAGCGGTGAAACAACCGGATAAATTCCCATGTCATTGTCAAAACCCAAACTGAAGGAGAAATCCCATCTGGCCAGCCCTGTAAAAAGCAGCAGCTACTTCCCACCTCGCCGGGTGTTATCGCACCCACGCGTGCACATGGGAACGGGAGAGGAGTTCACCTCCCAACTCCCATGGATGGCAGTGCCAGGATCAGGACCAGCACCCGCCTGCCCGGAGCCCCATCCCCACATCCCTCCTTTGAGCCTGGGGTGCCCGAGCCAAGCTCTCACCCAGGGAAGGGGGACCCAACATCCAAAGAAGCTCCTCCAGCCTTGCCCACCTCAGCAGGGCTCCCTGCCACCACCCTGCCTGTCCCCTGCCTGCACGCAGCACGGGCATCCCACCAAAAAAGCCCCTGTGCTTCCTCCTCTTCCTCACACTGTCTCATCAGCTCAGCATCTCCCCAGGATCTCCTGCCAGCTCCAAGCTGGGACCCATCCCTACTCCCTCGCAGGAGGACAGGGACCAGAGGGGAAAACATCAAGGTCCCTGCTCTCTCGGGAGGTGGCTGTGATGCTGAAGAGCAAGAGCCCAGTGGGGTGGGCGCTGCTGACGAGGCAACGAGGGGGTCTCTGAGTGGATAATCCTTCTGTGACTGATGGTCGGGTAAGTGGGAATGTCCCCATAAACATCAAGGTCCCTGCTCTCTCGGGAGGTGGCTGTGATGCTGAAGAGCAAGAGCCCAGTGGGGTGGGCGCTGCTGACGAGGCAACGAGGGGGTCTCTGAGTGGATAATCCTTCTGTGACTGATGGTCGGGTAAGTGGGAATGTCCCCATCACCCTGCGGGAAGGATCCTACCAAGGGTTTCTCCCCGCCTGTCCCAGCCCCCCCGGACACCCTGGGGAAGCACGGATCCCCGCTGCAGCAGGAGGGAGAAAGGAGTTGACTTTGCTTAGAAAAGGGAAAGAAAACAAGAAAACTATCTCAGGGGGGTGGGAAGGACGGCTCACAGCTGGGGGGTCCAAGGAAAATCTTCCCCCTGCCATCAGCTTCCTCCCCAACCTTTGGCAGGAGACTGAAGCTGGTGGCATCCCCTGCACATGGAGAGCATGCAGCCCGGGGCAGAGCCTTCCCCGCCAGGGGCTGGAGGAGAAAGGACCCCCACACGCCCTGGCAAGAGGCTGCATCCTCAGCTGGCGGGGATGGCACAGTGGCTGGGGAGATGCCAGCAGCCCGGGGACGCCAGATAAAAATAAAGAAGAGAGGATGGAAGGGGCCAGGCTCTTCAGGGCATGAACACAAGCCACATTGTGGTCTCCTCTCCCACCCACGCGATCCGAGGTGGCCCAGCCAGGGCCAGGAGACTGGGGTGGGATCAGCTGAGCAGTGCCAGCTGGGTCCAAGCTTGGGAACCCGGGATGGGAGAGGGAAACTGAGGCACAGGGCTGGCGGAGGAAAGGCTTTACCATAAGTCTGGCTGCAGATGGGGATGCCGAGGCACGAGGGGTTTGAACCCAGTGTCGGAGCAGGTTGGGGGGGGGAAACACCAGGCAGAGCCACGTGCTGCCTTGATGCCCTGGCTGGGTCAGTGGCTCAGCATCTCCCAAAAGGACCTGGTGTTTTCCTGGAGCCTTGGCAGCTCCCGCCGCCTCCCACCCACCACGGCGCTGAGACGGTGAGCGCAGCCTCTGCCTGCGTGCGGGACGCGGGGCACTGACTCACCCGCAGTCGTGCAGCCAAACGGAGCCAAGAATCCCTGCCAAGCCGGGTCCCCCACCTTGTGCTCCCCCCAGGGCGGGGGGATGATGATAATCCCACTGGATGACCCCAATACGATGCCAGGATCTGGGCCCCCAGAGCCCCCCACCCTCTGCAAAGCTGCTGTCTCCTTTCCCCCTTTCCCTGCAGGCAGGTGAGAAACCCCCCCACAAACCCCATGGGTCTCTCTTCCCCATGGAGGATTCCCAGGGGTGATGGGGGGGGCCGGGGTCCTGTTGCAAGCGAGAGATGGGTCCAGTCGGGAAGGAAACGGCCCCAAAAATGGCTTTTGATGCGATGAAAGGCAGAGAAGATGCGTGTTCACATACTGTGCAAAACTGCTGCGGGGTTGGAGCCAGAGGGAAAGCTTGGAGTGGGGGGGGGCTCAGGCTCCAGCTTTTAACCTGTGGCTGTGTGTCTCCTCTCCAGGAGGCAGGAATTCATCTGATCCCGTGGCTCAGGGTTTGGTTTCATTCCTTATTCTCATCTCTCTGCAAGCAGAGCAGGAGGGCAGAGGGGTGGGGAGGCCATGGAGCTGGTTGGGGGCAAGAGGGGGCCGGCAGAGAGGAGGAGGAGGAGGAGGAGGGTGGGCTGGAGGGGACACACTTCAAGATAAAAAATCAATTCTCAACAGGATCAACTCTTCCTCTAGTGAGACACGGAGGGGAGTCACTCCACAGAGCGAGGGCAAGGCCACGATGGTCTCCACCACAGGAGAAACGCGATGGAGCAGCAGCAGAGGGGGGGGCTGCATTGTCAGGACCCTCCAGCCTGACCCGTGGCCACGGGCAACTGCGAGATGAGAGCCCAGAGCCAGGCAGGAGGCTCCTGGGGGTGGGTGGCCACGAGGGATGCCCGCTGGTAGCCCAGCCATCCCCACACCACTGGAGATCCAGGCAAGCTTTGCTCCGGGGAGCTCGCCAAAGGCAGAGGCAAAAGGCAACAAGTGGATGGGGAGGAAGGTTAAAGGAGGAGAGGAAAAGGCTCCCGTGCAGGGGGGATGCCATGGGGTGGAGAGGGTGATGCCCCTGCCTGGCACGCAGTGATGCACCGCATTGGTGTTGCCCAATGCATGGGATGCAACTTTTCCAGCCACCTAATCCCTGCCTCTCCTCTCCCCGCCATCAGCACGGGCTCACTCACCATCAGGAGGCCCAGGACAGTGAGAAGGAGCTTCACCGAGGCATCACACCCCCTCAAAACCCAATTCATCCCACAGAACGTGGCAGGGACCAGGCAGAGGGTGGGGGGGAGGAACCATCTCCCCATCATCCCTGCCAGGAAGGCTCACAAGAAAGCCACGAAGGGAAGAATTCCAGGCAAATCCATGGGTTGCCCAGCCCTTGCCCTGCAGCCCGGGGTTCCAGCCTCTGGCTGGAGTCACTGAAGAGCTGGGCTCCGTGAGAAAGCACCCAGGAGGGGGATTTTCCCCCAGTTTGGCACGTTGGGGTCGCGGCGACGGAGGGAGAGCGGCGCCGAGCTCAGCCCGGCACAACACTTGGCCCGTCTCTGCCTTGGCACGGGGAAAACCCAACTCTTTCGAAGATTTTGGCTCCTGCCACCACTGAGACGTGCTTGGACACACAGCCCGGAGCTCAGCGGGGCTGTCACGGCACCGAGCCCCGATCCCACAGCCCCCCCAGGCAGGGATTGGGGGGGCACCGCCTTTTGGGGTGATTCCTGCCAGGAGATGGGGTGATGCTACATTGGCAGCCATGGGGGAGAGGCTGGAAGAAGCTGGTTTGGGGTTGCAGGGGGGCTGAGGAACACTCCAAAAGGAGAACAGACCCTATTTATAAGCACCCAGGTAGCACGTAGGTGGCTGGTCACAGCCTGCTGTGCCAGCCTGGTTAGTCACAGCTAGTTAAAAATCAAAAATGCTGGCAAAAAAACTGCTCAGACCCACGTCTAAATCCTCGTAGATGCGGGAAAGCGCCCTCACAATTGGAAAACACGGGGGGTAAGATCCACCTGGGCTTTGGTGTCAGCCCCATCGGAGGCCCTGGAGCACAGACCGTGGCACAGGGACGCTCCTGGGGTGCGTCCCCCTCAAACGCAGGGCATGGGGACACCAAGGTGCCCAGTCCAACCACATCCCCTGATGTACCCCACCTCAAAAGCACCCCGTGTGGGGCTGGTGGCACCAGGACCAAGGCCACTGCCCCATCCCCGGAGGTGATGCCATCCCTCCCCTCCCTGAGCAAACCCTGCAGCCGCCTCCTGCCCTTCCCACGTCCCGCCGGGGCCCGTTGGAGGGAGAATCCCAGCCCTTCCACCCGCGCCAGGCAGCAGCTTTGCAGGCAGCGAGGTTTATTCAAGCAAAAGGAGGGCAGCAGCAGCTGCCTGCAGCCCTGCCTGCCTCCTCCTCCTCCCACCAGCACCGGGCACCCAGCCCTGCCCGCGCCATCGCCACCCTGGGCAGAGCCCACCTGATGGGGCTGGGACCATCCCCCATGGGGCCAGCATCACCCAGAGGCTCCAAAACCCACGTTCCCCCCTCCGTTTTTTATTCCCCCACCCCCCCATCTCCAAATCCATACCCACGAGCGACGGAGTCAGCCGGTAGTCCCCGGGCTCGGGGGGTCTCTCCTGCTCCCGCAGCCTCGGCACGGCTCGGGGGGAAGCTCCAAAGGGATGCTTTGCCCAGCGAGGAAGCATGGTGGCACCCAGGCAGCCCAGAGGAACCAGGAGATGGCTGTGGAGCACGGCTCCCCCCCAAAAAAAATCTGCGCGACAAACACACGCACCTTATCGCATATGTTTAAACCGAATGAAATATGGTTTTACTAATCACTTGGCATTTAAAGCAACACGCCGTCTCCCCGTCAAGTTAAATCTAAGGAGACGTATCGAGTTGCGTTTAGCTGTTTATGTTAATTAAATACAGGACGGGTTCGTTATTAAACACGGGAGAGGGAGCAGCCGGGTGGATCGTTACCGACCTGGTTCGGAGGGAAGCCGGGGCGCAGCGATGGGTGGGCGCTCAGCCGTGCGGCCGCCGTCGCCTCACATCCAAATCCCAATCCCAATCCTCCGCGGGGGGAAACGGGGCCGGAGCGGTGCCCGATGGACGCGGGAGGTCCCCAGCCAGCCGTCTGCTGCCACCCAGCTCCTGTCACCCCTCGGTCCCCTCTCCTGTCCCCGAGCTACCGGGGGGCGCGGGGCGGCGAGGCCGTCTCCATGGCTGGCAGAGGCTGCCCCAGTTTCGCTGCCAGTGGCCATCGCATCCTCCCGGCTCCACGCCAGCACTTTTCCTCACATCCTTCCCCTACCCCGGCAACTTTCCCCCCCCTCCAAGCCTGCTTTTATTCCTCCGCTCGGCGTGGACGTCTCTCTCCCCCTTGCTCTCTTCCCTGGCTCGGGCGTTTCAGAGCTCCCCGTGGGTCTCTGGGTATTATTTTTTTCTTTTTTTTTTTTCCTCCCTTCCTCTTGAAATGTCACTGTGCCCCCTCAAACACATCACATGGGCTGGGAGCCAGCGCACAGCCCTGCACAGCCGCCAGCAGATTGCCACGCTGTCCCCTCCCTGCCCTGCTCAAAGCCAGGGACAGCCGGTGGCGTGTCGTGGGCTACCAGCCTGCCACAGTGGGCTACCAGCGTGCCACAGTGGGCTGCCAGTGCCATGGGCTACAAATACCGCTCACGAATTCCTTCTCACCCTCCCACCCCAGCCCCGGGTGCAACGGCGGAGGGTGGACATCCACAGGGGACCAGGGATGCTCAGTGGTGGGGGCACAAGAGCCTGTTTGTGTCCCCAGTGTCCCACCAAGCAAAGCTCTTGTCCCCAGGACATGATGCCCTTGACCATGCTGAGCCCAATCAGGTCACAACCTGCTGCTGGATGGGTCTTCTACAGGTTGGAGTGACCCTTCCTGAAGCTGCTCAGAAACCTCCCTGGGCAGGGTGGTCCTGGCAGGGGTGAGGGGTCACCCCAAAGGAGGGAGGAACAGGCAGTGAGGACCTGAGAGACGCCGGAGGCACAAGGCAGCTCCTCTGGGTCCATCCAGACTAATCAAGACCATCACTCTGCCCACATTTCAGGGGGTTGTTCACACGCCTCTTCCTCAAGGATCCTGGAGGAGATGCTGGCCCAGCCACAGGTACCCCAGATTTCAGTCTTAGCCCAACCCAAGGCAGTCCTGCAGGACCGTGACCCCCCAACACAGCCCTGACCTCTCCTGCAAGGACCCCCGTCAGCTGAGCCGCCGCCAAGCAGCACCCAAATTCTGATGAAACACAATTCAGAGCAAACCCCCACAGTCCGTCAGGCATGGCAATGCCAGCAACACCCCAAAACCACCCGCACACACCCTTATGGGCACAACTGCATCCTGGTGTCTTCCCAGGGCTGGGAACAGGCTTTGCAAACTCACCCCTATTTCCTCTATCTCCCATTTCCAGCGTTTGTCCCCAGAGTGGCCTCCTCATAGTGCCATCCTGGAGGTTCTCTCATGGACTTCAACCACTCAAGACTTGGATGGGGCTGTAGAGCCCAGGAAACCTCACACCAAAGACCCACAGGTGGGCTTTATGCCCATTTTGCAGATGAGGAAACTGAGGCATGGATGGAGGGGGACACGGGTGCTGCCTTGATGCCCTGGCTGGGTCAGTGGCTCAGCATCTCCCAAAAGGACCTGGTGTTTTCCTGGAGCCTTGGCAGCTCCCGCCGCCTCCCACCCACCACGGCGCTGAGACGGTGAGCGCAGCCTCTGCCTGCGTGCGGGACGCGGGGCACTGACTCACCCGCAGTCGTGCAGCCAAACGGAGCCAAGAATCCCTGCCAAGCCGGGTCCCCCACCTTGTGCTCCCCCCAGGGCGGGGGGATGATGATA